TAAACTTTCAACTGCAAAGACCAAAATGCATCATCTACAACATTAAGGCAATGTACAAATGGTTAAAAAAATGAATTATGAAAAAGTATCCTATGTGATTCACCCATAAAGACCACAACTTGCCATGATTTTGGCTTCAACACCTTCAACAAATGCATATGCAACTCGTTCCTTCATTTTCTCTGCAAGTTTCTCCACAATGCCATACATGAAAAAGCACCTGTAAAGTGACGAGAGGTTTTGAGAAAGAGTTTTGATAGTTGACTTAGATTGACTAATAATAGAAAGAAAATGGACATAATACAAGTCAAAACATATTCATAGTCACCAAGGCAAAAAAGTTTCACCAGATGCTCCTGGAATCTGTGGCAATAACAATCATTCACCAGATTCAAGCGTTATGCAAACCATTAATTGATAACCAAGAATCTCCCATCCCAGAAGGAACCCTCGAGTTCAAAACCTTCTAACCAGCTACTATTAAACCTAAATTTGACAAAATTAGCATACTATAATTGTAGAATTTCTGTTTTTTTCAGACTTCCCCATTAATATGTAAAACAAAAAGGGCGTAATTCCCTCCCTAGTCAACTCATAGGAGCAAAAAGGTCAGATAAAATTCCTAGCTCTTAAAGCAAGCTCTCACCTGATTCAGCCAAAGAAAATAAAATTCAAACGCAGCAAGAAACAGAGACTAGACAATAACTCAGCAACAGCCAAAGCACAAATCTTTATCCACATATTCAATACAACTATAAAAGGGGAGAAAGCTAAGCACCGGCTAAGTAAAGGGAACAACAAAGATAAGAAGAAGCCAAAAGTCGATCCATATCGACCGCCATCACCGACGGGGGGCCTTGCACTTTCATAGACGACTGATGATCTTTTGGGGGATGTTGACAGGGGTTACCCGCTCGAAAATCCTCCCAATCAGTGCTTCGATCCACTCCGACTAGCACATCCAAGCCACCAAACACCACTACACCGGAGGACGCTCTGAAAATCGAAAAGTTAGGGTTTGCGCAAAGAAAAGCATGAGCATGGAATAGCTTTGTCGAATAAACTCGATGAACCCACGGAGGAGGCTCTTAGGACTGCACGAAGGAGAAGATCCGGAGAGGTGGCGCACGAAGGCGATGATGTCGGCGAGTCACATGGGCTGATTTTTCAGAACCAACTCGTAAAGTAAACATATGGTGAGAGCGAGCTACTCAGGACATTGGGGATTTTTTTTATTTTAGAGAGAGCAGTATTTTAGTTGGACAGCTTGTGGCTCCTCTGACCTCTCACTTTCAAGTTTGAAGGCTTGGTAAAAGGAAAAGCGGGATGGCCAAATCGTGAAAAGAGGGGGGAATTTTTGGAGCTAGAAAATAAATGGTGGGAAATTTTCATTCTGAAAAGTTTTGGAGCCATAGAATAAAAGTGTGGGAAATTTTCCCTCCTATTTTGGTGTATGTTTTTTAAATATAAAATAAAATAATCAAATTGTTCACGGTTGTTAACTGTGACTAAACAATCAATCACCGGAAATAAAGAGTGCAAAATAGGTAAATTAATTCCTGTGATTAGAACTATACAATTGGTTACAGGAATGCTTCCCATGACTAGAAATCAGTTTTCCTGTAATGTAGCATACCTCTAAGTATAGGAAATACCACCGTGAATAAGATACCGTGACTGAAAACCAGCTTTCCTGTAGTGTAATAGGGTATATAGACTATAGAGTTGATGTATAGGGTATATGGTTAGTCTAATGGGTTAGGGTATAAGGTATTAATGGTTTAACAATTATTAGTCAAAATCATAACTAATAAGATCAACTTTTCTTATTAACACATGTTCATCAATCAGAATTCAGATCACTAGGGGTTTAGGGTATAGGTTATAGAGTTGACTTATAGAGTATATGGTTAGGGTATAAAGTCTTAATGATTTGACCACGGTTAGTCAAAATCATAACTAATAAGATCAACTTTTCTTATTAACATATGTTCATGAATCAAACCAGTAGGGATTTAAGGTATAGGTTATAGAGTCGACTTGTAGGGTATATGGTTAGAGTATAATGTATTAATGGTTTGGCCACGATTAGTCAAAATCATAACTAATAAGATCAAGTTTTCTTAGTAATATATGTTCATGAATCAAACCATTAGGGGTTTAGTATATAGATTATAAAGTCGACTTATAGGGTATAAGGTATTAATGGTTTAGCCATGATTAGTCAAAATCATAACTAATACGGATCAAGTTTTTTTTATTAACATATGTTCATCAATCAAACCATTAGGGGTTTAGGGTATATGATATAGAGTCGACGTATAGGGTAATGGGTTAGGGTTAAGGTATCGAACTATTAATGGTTTAGCCAAGATTAATCAAAATCATAAATAAAAAGGATCAAGTTATTTATTAACACAATTTTATGAATAAAATCATTTGGGGTTCAGGGTATAGACTTTTTAGAGTGTAGATTATATGTTATCGAGTAAAGTTACAATGGAACTCACAACAATTTTTCTAAATTTTATAATTTAGTTTAATACAAAAATCATATAAAAAATTAACTAGCTAAAACAACAATTTCTCTATACATTTATAGGAACAATTTCACTTGTTTTTAAAAAATTAAAAAACTATTTTTAAACTTTTCTCTCCAAATTTTGGGTTCCCCCAATACTACTGGCCAAAAATTTGATTCCCCCCACCCGCCGAGACCCGCCAATAGTTCCCCTTGTAATGTTTCCCCAAAATTTTGTTTCCCCCACCTTTGAGTCTTTGATTTTGAATAATGATCCCTTTTTTTACAAGTATTGTGCTCGCTTCATATAGTTACGATTTACGACTTGCCAGTAATCACTAAAAAGTAACGCGATGTTCTGGTCTATAAAACCCGCAACCCCGAACCGCCCGACCCGCAACCCGATTGACCCGCACCCGATTGACCCGTAACCCGATTGGCCCGTAACCCGATTGGCCCGCAACTCGATTGACCCGTAACCCGATTGACCCGCAACCCGATTGACCCGTAACCTGATCAACCCGAACCCGATGAGCCCGCAACCCGACCAACCCGCAACCCGAATGAACCCAGCCCGAACCCGCCCGATTGACACCTCTAACCATGAGGAAGGTGAAACCATGAAGATCTCAATGGAGAAATTGATTGACGTAGGGGTGGGCATTGGTGCGGTTCGCACCGCACCGCACCGCTTTGATACAAACCGCACCGCATCGCATATTAATTGAATGGCACCGCATGTTGGACCGCAATATAATTGGTGCGAACAAACCAAACTGCATAGATTAGCGGTTTGGTACGGTTTAGCCCGCACCACATATTTGACCGCAATTCATAATGAAACAAATAGAAAACAGAAAACAGAGCATTCCAAAAACAGAGCCGGGATCATGTCATCGTTCACTTTTGGAGTTGGGCCGGTGACTTGGATCTACGCGGGGAAGTTTTCAATCGGTGGCTATGTTTCTATCACATTGCTGGACGGCTCGGCATGGGCGCCATTTCTCTGCTTGTTTACGTTGTACGTGCCATTTCTCTGCTTGTTTTCGTCTTCTACTTCAACTTGGTCATAGACAAACAAGGGCAGATTCTAGAAACAGATTGATGGAAAGTACACTACAAACAGAGGAATGGAAAAATATGAACTGGTACAATCTCATAAAAAGTAACTGGCATGAAGACACTTGGTTCTCAAATTACACTAATTAAAGCCTGTATAAATCCTCTAACTTCAAGCATAAGGCTGCAGAACACAGACGACAACTGCTTTGGGTCCATCTTATTCTCAAAACAGAAAACAGAGCATTCCAAAAACAGAGCATAATTTTTTTTTGCAGACCCACTAAAGTAGATCTGATAACAGGTCCATTACCATTCCAAAGTTCCAACACCATAAACTAAGTACCCTGGAGATAATATACGTGGATTAATCATGTCATCAAGCAGCCATGAATGCAGAGTGTACAGTATCAACCATTTAAGTCCATGAAGCAGAGCAGAGCAGATCCCGCCATGAATCCTGAACCTGACTCATTCAAGATTTATTTCATGTCGGTTTTGAATGGGAGACCATCTCTCTGTTTGAATGAAAATGGCCTCCATAGATGGAAACCCACGAAGTCTAGTAGGAAACCCACGAAGGGGCAAAGGGTTCGGCGGGTCCGTCAGTGAGAGTGTGAGACCTCTTAAGGAAAAGAGGAGGGAGAAAGAGAGTACCAGAGGAATCGTCGGCGCTGGAGTCGGGATGTCGGGAGTACCCTCGCAAGAACAGATCGGGAGTCGGGATGGAGGAATCGTCGGCGTCGACGCTGGAGCTATCGCCTCTTAGTGGTGCGCGACGTCGTCGAGAGGCACGGATAGATCGACGTCGTCGGGTAGGTAGTCGGGATGGAGGAATCGTCGGGATGGAGGAATCGTCGGGTAGGTAGTCGAGAGGGAGGATTCGTCGGGTAGGTAGTCGATGGCGCCGCCGCAAGGCTTGCTCTTGTGGTGAATCCCTCGCTGAGCTGGGTAGGGATTTAGTGGTTTGCGGTTTTGAACCGCAACCGCGCAGTTTCGGTCGACCCGTACCACAAAACCGCGAACCGCTTAGGATTAGACCGCAAATTAAACCGCAATCTTAATGGTGCGGTTTGGATTGACCGCATAAGCGATTTGGAGCGGGCGGAGCGGTTTGGACCGCACCAATGCCCACCCCTAGATTGACGAATGCAGAGCATTGTATATGTTGTTGGACAAGAAACCATCAATGCTGCACTTTCTTGGATGATTTAGCTTTTGGCAATCCATCAGGACTGGCAAGAAAAGGTTCGAAACGAAGTTATCTACATATTTGGTCATGAAAATGCCATGATTCCGATGGGATTACAAGGCTCAAAATAGTAAGCAAGCTCTCTCTTTAGTTGCACATGCAATAGCTAGAACAATGCTCATTCCTAATTCTCCAACAATACATTTTGTGTTCTTTTGTGGGTTGCAGATGAGAACGTTCATTCTTGAAACTCTAAGACTGTACTCTCCAGTGTATACGGGATTCATCCGCGACATTGGAAAGGAAGCCACGCTAGGCAACGTTACTCGTCTTGCCGGACTGCAATTTCACATTCTCATCAACATGGTTCACCATGATCCCAAAATCTGGGGACAAGATATTCATCTTTTCAAGCCTGAGAGATTCTCAGAAGGGATTGCTAAAGCTACAAACAACAACTCAACTGCATATATGCCCTTTGGGATTGGAGTTCATGTGTGTGCAGGATTCAATTTCACCATTGACGAAGCCAAGATAACCATTGCAATTATTATTCAACGTTATTCTTTCACTCTCTCGCTAGGCTATGTCCATGCACCTCACCCTGCCTGACACTACGCCCTGGCAATGGAGTTCAAGTGATTCTTAAAGCATTTAGATAAAAGATGAGACAGAGGGGGCTTGTTTCTATTGAGGATTGTGAGATCATATATTCATATTGTTGGGTACTCAACAAGAGTGAACTGTGTTTTACCATGATACTTATTTCTTCTTTCTTCTTCTATACAATTTTTGTTGTTAAGGGATGCACAACTGAAATTAATTATGAAACAGCCTAAGTGGTCATTGTCACTTTGTTTCAGGAGCAAAATCTTTCTAGGTGTACTCCATCCTATAAAAGGCTTATTTTGTCTTTCCATTGATGCATTGTGAGTGAAGTGAAAATGAAATGGAAGTGAAGAGAAGGTTTGCAGGTACCATGATTGAACCTTTCACAAATGCTCTTTTGTCTCTAGATTATTCTTCCAGTGCTTGCTTGAGTATTAAGTTAAGTATATCCGTGTGTTTGAAGCTACACATGGTATCATGGCCATGTTAATTTTTGTTGAGGGTATATGAGGTTTATTTGGAGTGAACCTATATAAGGCTAAAAATTGTTTCAACTAATCTCTGTCTCACTTCTCTTCCTACCTTCAATTAGAGCAACTACCAAATGTAGATAGTCAAAATCAAAGAGTTTTATGTAGGGGCATGACTTGTCGGACCATGTAACAGCCTAACAGGATGAATAGTATATCCACTTTCCAATAATGATTAGGTAGTTATAATGTCTTTGACGATTCAGTGTTGCATTGTCGGGAAGTGGATCTATTATTCATCTTGTCACTACCAAATTTAGGTTGTCAAAGCGAATAAGAGTTTAGTCTAGTGGTAATACCAATAGTCTTAATCCTAGAGGTCCTATATACGAATTTCTTAAATAGCACCTAACAAAAAGTATACATATATCACTCTTATAAAAAAAAAGTATAGGTTGCCAAAATTAAATGAAGAATTTTATGCATGGGTGTGACTTTTAGAGCTTGTGACATGATGAACAATAAATCCATTTCGCAATAATATTTCTGGAAAAAACTTCATGATCAAACATACCACCTTGATATAGCGTGGTATATGGTCGTTGATTGTGGTTAAATATTGTAAATGTATATCTCTATTATAATGTATACAAACATTATACACTATGTTGTATTATACGCTCATGATATACTTCCATACCACCAAGTATAATCATATGTACCTACTACAAGTATTACCAAAATGCTATAGAGTATTAATATATTTCTCAAATTTTTTGGTTCAAAATCTATAAACAAAGTGATTCATTTGAAATTTTATATACAAATTACAGTTTAGTACATAAACCTAATAGATTCTAAACTTTAGTGGCTAATTTTTTTGCATATAAGTTCTAAAAATATTAATGAAAAATTATATTTTTGGTACCTAAAATTTTTATTTGTTACATTTATACCTAGAGGTGGCAATTTCAATCCAATCCACCAATCCAATCCATCAATCCATTAAAAATATCCACCTAATCCAATCCATTTAAATCCAATCCATTTGATCCAAATCCAATTGGATTGGTGAATTCATGGATTGGATCCATGGATTATTGGCAAATTACAGTTTAGTACCTATAATTTTTATATTTTACATTTTGGTACCTAAAATTTATTTTTTTATACGAAAAATATCATTGGAAAATTACGTTTTGGTACCTAAAATTTTTCATTGTGACATTTTAGTACCTAAACTTATTACATTTTACATATTGGTCCTTGGTTGAGGATGTCATTTGGATTCATGGATAATCCACCAATCCACTTGATCCAATCCATGAATCCACCAATCCATTAGATCAAATCCATTTGATCTATGGATCCACCAATCCAATCCACCAATCCAATCCATTTGCCACCTCTATTTATACCTAAAATTTTTATAATTTACAAATAAGTCCAATTTATGATGTTCATAGTACGCTTTAAGAAATGGGAGGTCTTCTTTATGAGGTTTCTAGTCTGCTTCAAAAAATTGTGGTATGCTATAATAAACTTATGACATGCTTTATAAGGTTTCTAGTGTGCTTTCAGGAACTTGTGGTATGCTTTAGGAAGGTTTTTGTCTGCTTTAATAAACTTGTGGTCTAATTTATGAGATTTTTTTGTTTGCTTCAGGAAACTTGTGTTCCGCGCAGTGGCGTAGCCAGACTTTAAGTTAAGGGTAAATACAACTTATTAGCCACAACTATTAAGAAGTAGGAAATTATAGTCACAATTATCGAAATATAAATTATTAGCTAAACGTTAACCCTTCGTTAACAATTTCGTTAATAATTCTGACTAAACTTTTACAATGTTCATCTGGCTCCCACGTGGCAGTCACCATATCATATTCTAATTTTAAAATAAAAATAAATTATTAAATAATTAAGAAAATGAAAGAAAAAATCTAAAAATTAAAACAAATCTCTCTCTTGCTCTTTCTTCTTCTTCATACTCTCTCCTCCTCTCCTCCGAGCAAACCCAATCCAAAAGAGAAGGAAGTCTTCAACGCTAGTAACCATTTCGCCGTCGATTCTTGATAATCTAGAATGAGAGCCGATTGATTTGCTTATCAACGTCCACCATGAAAAACGTCCCGAGGAAGGAGCTACAGCTCGCCGGAACCAGATCTAGTCGCTAGAGATCAGCTCGTCAGAATCAGCTCGCCCATCTCGAATGGACCCTCACGGTCCCCACCTAGTTCGTCTTTCTCACCCGATTCGCCAAAGCAGGTATGACAAGGACTACCCCAATCTACATCTGCCCATATCTCGTCGCCATCGTTGCTGGGACTACGTACCCGCCGGCGTCATAAGTCCGTAACTACTCTCCCAGCTCTTTTGGTCACCGCCGATGGAGATAGAAGAGGGGTTTTGGATCTAGGCGTGATGATGTTGGTTTGGGGATTTTTTGTTTTCAGGGAAGGATTTGGTTTAGTGAGGTTTGGGGATTCTGGTTTAGATTTGGGGGTTTCTCTCTATGGAGGAGAGAAGGCCTTCGCTCACCGAGCCCTGACACCATATCTCCTTCGCAATCTCGTACCTGGGAAGCCTCTTCTTCGTCGGTCTGTCAGCTGCCCTCCTAGTATTTTTGCCCTTGACGAATTCAGTCACGATGTAGTGATTCTTCTTCACAACCACCGCAATTCCTCCAACCCTCTGGCCAGAACGAGCGGCGGCGGCTGCTGCTAGGGGCACTTGCTCCGTCACTAGGTCTTCGGCGGCCGCCGGTGTCGTGGTGGTGGTCGATGAGGGGACAGAGAGAAAGAAAGAGTGGGAGGGAGCTTGGGGAGAGGAACGGTTTTTTGTTGTTTTTTTATAATAAAATAAATAAAGAAAAATAATTTATTTTAATGATATCTGACGTGGGTCGCCACTATGATGCTAACGTGGAACTCTGTTAGCAATATGGTTAACGGTAATAGAGTTGTTAGCCATCTGTTTACCCGCAACAATAGTTATGGATAATAATTTATATTTCTATAGTTGTGGCTATAGTTTCCTGCTACTTAATAGTTGTGGCTAATATATTGTATTTACCATTAAGTTAGTTGGGGTCTTAAAAAATCAGTAATGTTGAAATCTATGCCTTTAATGGGTTTGTGTTGATTGGGGTCCTTACCTGTAACTAAAATTAGTTAGAGTATGGAGTCCTAAATTTGAAAAATCGGCTAACTCCTTTGTATCTAATGGATTTCCTAATTGTTCTGCCGAGGACCCCACTCCTCAACACCTACCTCCGTCATTGGTTCTGCTTTATGAGGTTTCTGGTATGCTATAGCAAACTTGTGATCTACTTTATGAGGTTTATGGTATACTTCAGGAAGCTTGTTGTGTGTTTTATGAGGTTTTTTATATGTTTCAAGGATCTTGTGATATGCTTTATGATGTTTCCGATATGCTTAAGGGAACTTGTGGTCTGATTTATGAGATTTCTTTGTATGCTTTAGCGGATTTGTGGTATGCTTTATGAGGCTTATGGTCAGCTTCAGAGAATTTGTAGTATAATTTGTGAGATTTCTAGTATACTTCAGGAAACTTGTGGTATGCTTTATGAGGTTTCGGGTCTACTTCAGTGAACTTGTGGTATGGTTTATGAGTTTCTCATATGTTTTGGGAATTTTTGGTCTGCTTTATAAGTTTTCTGGTTCACTTTATGTTATTTGTGGTATGGTTTGTTGTGTTTTTTGTTTTTTTTTTTGTGGTCTACTTCATGATACTTGTGGTAAGATGTGGGTCGTGGAATAAATGAACAGCGCCCCGCTCTAACATTTTAAAATGACAAGCATGTCACTCCCTTTAAAAATCAACATTAATTATGGTCAACCCCTTAATATAGAAAAGTTATCAAAACAAAATATTTCTGCTGGTTGAAACTAATCTGAACATCGTACTAACAAATTGAGTGTTCGCACCCTACACTAACCTCTAAACCCCAATAACCAGTTAGTTGAGGGTGAGTGTGGTAAATGTGCTTGGCCTCACCATAACCAATATCCATCGGTCTTGATAACCAATTAACAGAGAAACATTCAGATGTGATCATAGGAGGAGCCATTTCATTTTGCCGTTGTCATAAAACAGGGGCAATTTTTCGGCAAGGAAAAAAATCCACATATTCTTGTACTGAGAATCGAATTAAGCACCGATGAGTAACATTTTGTCATTACATCACAACTCATTAATTGTTCATTAATTAACACTTAATTATTGAATTATTGATTTCATTCATGACACTATCAACAACAGCTTGTTGGGGTATTATCGTGATATTATTTCTCATGAAAAATAGCTGAATTGAAAAGATTTGATGAATTATCTCGAGCAATGGTGGAGAAAAAGGGCATCAGTCATTTCTGTCAATATATTTGCTTCTGAAGCTAGTTTTGTTTCTACGAGATGCAACTGCAAGTGTATAAATAATATTTCCAGCATTAGCTATATCAAGAAGAAGTTTCAAACTCGAGTTAGCGATCAGTTTGCTAATGATTGTTTGATGAGAAAAATTGAACGATATTTACTTATAAGTGTAAACAACAAATGTACTTTGCATTTCGTTTAAAATATGAAAACTGGCCATGGTTGTTTATGCAACCAATAATTGCATTAGTCGATTATTCTTCATCTATTAATGAATTTTTAATTATATTTATTATATTTATATTCTCAAAATAGAACACGGATAATTTCAAATCCCGCCGTAGCGGCTGGGTGTGGGATACCATAATACGCCGGCCTTATAACCCAGAAACAAAGAAAAACCAAGCACATAAATCCAGTAACGTTCAGATTCGTCCGCCATCCCTCTTCACTAGATGCCATTAATTTCTCCAACATATAATAATCAGTAATCACCATCACGTTGTCGCGAAAGCTTGCTTTTGTCAGTACCCTAATCCCCAAACGACCTCACCTAATATATTCTTCTTAAAAACTATGCACATTTTTCATTTCCTTCGTCAAGTTCAAAGCTCGCCTTCAAGAACTTCATTTTTCCCCATCTCACAGCAGCATTCCAATGGATGCCCCGTTGACTCTGTTTCTTATCTCTGTTTCTCTCTGCCTCTCTTATGCCCTCTTCAACTTCCTTCACAAAGTGCTATGGCAACCTCTCCACACCCAACGGTTCCTGAATTCTCAGGGAATCAAAGGCCCTCCTTACCGCTTCCTAATCGGAAACGTCAAAGAACTCATCCGATTCCGAAGTGAAGCACAGGCAAAACCCATGCCCGATCTTTCTCACGATGTGTCTCCGAGGATACTGCCCCACGTTTCCATATGGGCCAAGGAGTACGGTAAGCAACTAACTCACTCCCTCGAACTTTGTGGTCTGCTTTATGAGATTTTGGACTGTTTCAACGTTCTTAACCTTCAACAGGAAAGAACTTTGTGTTCTGGCTCGGACCGCGGGCCCAGCTGGTGGTGTCCGAGCCGGAGATGGCGAAAGAGGCCCTGAGCAACAAAGTCGGGTCTTTCCCCAAATCCGAACTGTACACTAGTTTCCACAAGAAGATCTTCGGTCAAGGGCTTGCCACCAGTGAAGGTCAGAAGTGGGCTAAGATAAGGAAGCTGGCGAATTTTGCTCTACACGGAGAGAACCTCAAAGTAAAACAGACACTTTTTTTTTTTTTTTGTTGTAAATTTGTGGGTTTGGGGGAAGTGATCAATCAAACTGTAGGTTTTAATCGAATTTTTGTTTTTATCCTGTTGAAGGGAATGATTCCTGAAATGGTTGCTAGTGTGGAGATGATGCTGGAGAAATGGAAGGATTGCCATGAGAAAGAGCTCAATGTCTACGAAGAATTCAAGATATTGACATCAGAAATTATTTCCAGGACGGCGTTTGGGAGTAGCTTCCAAGAAGGCCAGCAGGTTTTCTACATGATTAGCCGTCTCGTGTTGCTTGCTGACAGAAACATGCTCTCTATCAGACTTCCAATCATCAGGTAACAAGTAGTTTAAAGTCAACTTACGAGTTTGAACTTTGCACATAGTCATCATACATCGTTTTTTAATAAACTGTTAATACTGGGAGTTGTGACATTCAAATACCCGACCACTTGGTCAAACTAGCTATAATATCATGTCATAAACCAGTTGGTTCCAAAAACTCAGATTATTCGGAGCAGAGTAGTTTATATCCTGATTTAAATCATAAAATCTAATGATTTTACTTACATATTCCGATCTTGATTTCACTATAAAATCTATGAACGTTAAAATCCTACACCATTCACGATTTAAATCGTTAAAATCTTACGATTCAAATCTTTGGGTCTATTTTACTTATTTTTCCTAAAATTTGCAAAATTATGCCTCTTTTCCATCTCATCCACCAACATCAAGTTCTCTCACATAACCACCATCGACCATGATCGACTCACATCAACACATTAATCATCATCGATTCACCACTTTCCAATATTAACCTTGATTAATTGAAACATCAATCTTGTAAGTGTTATGTATTTTTGTGTTATTTATGATTTTTCTTATTAATATTATTCCGTGTTTATTTTTATATGAACCTTACAATTTCTACGATTTTACGATTCGATATTACAATTTCGATTTTACGCAAAATCCCGATTTTAACTACTAACTATTGGGAGAATATTATACCACTCTCTTGCAATTTGCATATTGCAGCAAGGTTTGGAGAAGTAGGGATGAGATCGAAGCTGAGAGGCTGGAGGAGGGAATTGTGAAATCCATTATGCTGATGGTGAAGAAAAGAGAAGACAACGCAAAGAGTAGTGGAGAAGTAGCTGATGGGTATGGGAGGGATTATCTAGGGCTCCTTCTAAAGGGATATCACGATGATGAAGATGAAACCAAGAAAATTTCCATGGTGGAATTGATTGACGAGTGCAAAACACTCTATCTGGCGGGACAGGAAACGACCAATTCCCTTCTTTCCTGGATGATTCTGCTCCTGTCAATCCATCAGGATTGGCAAGACGCCGCAAGGAAAGAGGTTGTGGATCTATTCGGCCATGACAGGACTCCTGATGTTGATGGTATTGCAAGGCTCAAAATCGTAAGTATTTGTAGGTTGAAATTTAACTCGGTAGTTTTAATAATTTAAGTTGTTGGTATGTGTCACCCGACACACCTTGCTCCGAAATTTTTGTGAGGAACTCACATTTTTTCGGTGTAAGAAATTCGTACAAAGGACCTCCGACACACCTCCAATAATTATAATCGACACACCTTAACCTTATTAAATTACAAAAAAAAATTATTGTGATAATAGTATTAAAGTATGTAAATATAGGAGTTATCGGATTTCACATTAGGTAGTTAATTAGTTGGTTGTACAAGAGTAAACAATTAATTGACTACTTACTAATTAGTGAGTATTCAGAAAGATAGCTATCACCTTACAGATAACCTCAATAAATTGAATGAGAATTAAATTGATTAATAATCTAGTTGAGTCACGTAATTAGATAGTGAATTCCATATAGTCTTTTCCCATAACTTCTTCGATGGATTCTTCTTAAGTTAACATTCTACTTGCTTTCTAGTTTAGCTATTACTTTCTACGTTGACGTTTGTCGCCACCGTCTGATTGTCGGTATCGAGCCGACAACATCCTCATTCTCATTCAAACTTACACATTGACGCCTGTAGCCACCCTTCCAGCTTCTCATACCAGCTTTCTCATATTAAATTAGTGTTGCCTTTAAATATTGCAACTGTAAGCTACAAAATTACATTTTTTCATATATGAGTTTAATCGAGAAAATTCATTGGTATAAGTTGAGTGATCAATTTATGAATAATTTTTTAGTTGTGTACATAAAATATATATTTAATTTGCAGCCTAATGAGCAAATGTAGTTAAGAAATTTTTCAGAATATGAAAACTCGTCGTGGTTCACTGTAAAAAAATGAAATTGATGAACTTTATGAATAAAAATTTTATATTTATTTTAAATTAATTAATTAATTAATTTTTTTTTATTGCCCGACACACCTGTACCAAAATCCTGGGTCCGCCACTGATGCACCCCATAACACATGTTTTAAGACAACAATTTATATTGATGTTGATGAGGGGACGTGACCTCAAGGACAAACAAACTCTGATACTATGTCAAAACCAACTGGTCTCAATAATTCGAGCTATTAGAAGAAACTGGTTCTTGACCTGGTATCAGAACCTTCGATAGTCAATTAGAGGTCTTGTGTTCGAATCACGATGCACCCATTTGTTAAGCACATGGTATTCAGACATGTCCAATCTTCAACTCCCATATATGAGTTGGTTTTCGTTTAAGAGGGCATGTTTTTAGCCGATATATGATTGATTATTGAACTTCTCTCAACAACTCGAGTTATTGACATCAACTGGTTCTGGAGAAAGTTAATTTGTTGAGATCAATCGGTTCAAGATATATGATTGATTATTGAACTTCTCTCTGTTTGGCAGATAAGCATGATCATCAGCGAAACTCTAAGGTTGTACACCCCGGTGTTCTCAGGATTCGCTCGTGAAACCCATACAGAAACCACGATCGGAAAGCTCGTCGTGCCTCCGGGAGTCCAAATCCACTTCCCATTCATGACGATGCACCATGACCCTGAAATCTGGGGAGAAGATGTGGATGCTTTCAAACCAGACAGATTCGTGGAAGGCATTGCTAACGCTACGAACAACAACCCAGCTGCCTTCATGCCTTTTGGGGCAGGACCTCATGCATGTGTGGGATTCAACTTTGCGACGTACGAAGCCAAGGTAGCCTTGGCCATGATCCTACAACGATATTCTTTCAGAGTCTCCCCTGGCTACGTGCATGCGCCTAGTAGTGTTTCCATGGTTCGTCCTGAGAATGGAGTTCACGTAATTCTGACTTCACTCTAGAGAGAAAAAGGGAGGAGGAGGGTGCTTTTGGCTTGTGTTTTCCTTGTTACGCACTATGTTTGTATGGTATTTGGCATAGTTATTTTACCTTGTCTTATGGGGTTCTTTAAATAAATTGGTATAATCTAGCCAAGGTGTAGGACCTATCTTGGCTCGAAAGAAATATGTATATATAGATATATAATCAGGTGTTGCTGAGACTTGAACCTTAAATTTCGTCAATATTAGATAATGTTTTTGAAAGGATAGTTTTACCTATCCTATTCTTAGTACGCAGCCGTGTGTTGGCTTTAGGGGTTTTATTGTCTTTTCCCCTTTTAGCCGCCAGTTTTATGTAACCCTAGGAAACTAGTTGATTAGGGTTATATATATATATATATATATATATATATGCTGTAAGTGTATCGGCCAAATACTAAGAACGAATAAGCTGAGATAGCACAATTTCTCCGTGGAGTAAGCTCATTCACACCGAATGAGAAGAACCACGTAAATCTCGTCTCGTGCGTTTGTGTTTTCTGTTCTACAATTATTTCTTGGTATCTGAGCTGGTTAATTAAAACCTAGTTTTACAATGAGTGGCATGGACTCTGATAGCAGCAGTCGAGATCTGGTCAACCCTAATGGCGGCGGAGGAGGTGGTGTTCCACCTTTGGTCATCCCTGCTGTGTTGCGGATCCAAGCTTCAGATAATCCCGGCCAATTGTTCGTTGGTGAGCTGTTAACCGACTCCAATTACGGGGAGTGGGTCACGGACATGACCGAGGCCTTGATCGCGAAGAACAAGCTCGGCATAGTAGATGGTACAGTAGTCAAGCCTGAAGCTGCCGGTGAGTTGCAGGTAGCATGGCTTCAGTGCGATGCCCTCGTCAAGGGATGGCTGAAAACAGCCATGGACAAGGAGGTACATAGTTCGATCCGATACGCGAAAACTGCGCGTGAGATGTGGATTGACCTGGAGGCGCGATTTGGACGTGGATCAGCGCCTAGAGCTTATGAGCTCCGTCAAAGCCTTAGTGCATTGAGACAAGAAAAGCTCACGGTCTCAACGTTCTTCACCAAACTTCGAGCCATTTGGGAAGAGATGCAGACCATTACGCCGGTTCCGCGATGCACCTGCGGATTGTGCACGTGTGAAATAGATAAGAAAGTGATGAGTAATCAAGAAAACGATCGACTTTTCGATTTTCTCATGGGATTGGGAGATGCGTTTGGAACTGTTAAGACGCAAATCCTATCCATGAAGCCTACCCCGACTCTCGGTGAGGCCTATCGCCTAGTCTCCACTAAAGAGCAGCACAAACAGATTGCTGCGAGCAGGCGTCCTACTGTCGATGCCGCTGCCTTTCAGGTTCGCCAAGATCGCCCCGTGGCCGATGCGAGCAGGAGGGAGGAGAGGTCTCGCAGCAGTGATCGTAAAGAGAGGCATCGCTGTAGTCACTGTCAGCGTCCCGGGCACTCGAATGAAAACTGTTATGAAATAATTGGTTGGCCCGAGAGGAAGCCTCGAGCAGGAGAGCGAGGAAGGGATCGTGATCGTGAAACGCGCCCAGCTGAGCGCGAGAAGGAGCACGCGAGCCGACCCAGCAATCCTCGCGCTGCACAATCCTCGGCTGGGGCAGAGGTTAGTATTCCGGGGCTGAGTTCAGATCAGGTGCAACAGCTCTTGGAATTTCTCAATCACAGCGGAGGGCAGTCAAATTTGTCTTCGGCATTTGATCTGCAGGTGAATATGGCAGGTACGTCTCTCTCACAGTCTGAGTGGATTATAGATTCGGGATGCAATGAATATATTACGAATGATGAATCTTTGTTAGAAAATTCTGTGGAAGTTTCGGGTTACTTGCCAGTCAGCATTCCGAATGGGGATAAAATTACAGTTAAACGGGTTGGTGAAGTCAGTTTATCCCATGGGATGAAGCTTAGTCGGGTGCTCAGTCTTCCATTGTTTAAGTGCAATCTCTTGTCAGTCAGCAGGCTCACTCAAGATTTTGATGTCGCTTTGACCTTTTTACCCGACTTTTGCGTAATTCAGGACTTACACTCCAGGAAGACGATTGGGACGGGCCAGCTCCGTGATGGGCTCTATTACCTTCGTCTGTATGGTGCCGATGGATCTCAAGCCTTGGCGGCCAGCGGTGACACCGGAATGGGGGAGCTTTGGCATGCTCGGTTGGGTCATCCGTCACTGAAGAAGACCCCTTTGTTATTTCGTTCGTCAAAATAAGTGCAATAGTGAGACCTGCGATTCTTGTATGCGTGCTAAACAGACACGGTTACCTTTTCCTAGACATTCGATAAAAACCAGTCGTTGTTTTGAGCTTATTCATGTGGATATTTGGGGCAGTTTCAAGGTCCCTACTCAGCATTCAGCTCGCTATTTTCTCACGATTGTGATGATTTTAGTAGAGTCAACATGGGTTTATCTCATGTCTTACAAATTGGATGTTGAGGGGTTTTTAAAGATGTTCATTAATATGGTCATGACGCAGTTTGGTCAGCAAGTGGCACGCATCCAGGCTGACAATGGGTTAGAGTTTCAGACAGGCAGTCTGCGTACCTTTTATGAGGATAAAGGCATTGTTCTGCAGACCTCTTGCACCGATACTCCTCAGCAGAACGGAGTGGTCGAGAGGAAACATCGACATTTACTTGAAACAGCTCGAGCTCTCAGATTTCGAGCAAGTTTGCCTCTGAAGTTCTGGGGTGATTGTGTCTTGACGGCGACTTATTTAATTAATCGCCTACCCTGCAAAGTTCTGCAGGATCGTTCTCCGTACGAAGTTCTGCTTGGAAAGGCGCCTTCTTATGATCATCTTCGTGTCATGGGGTGTTTAGCATATGGCAAAGACACTCACAAAGGAATATCGAAGTTTGATGAACGCGGCAAACGTTCAGTATTTATGGGGTACCCAGCTTTCCAGAAGGGTTACCGACTATTTGATCTTGCATCTCGGTCCTTTTATGTCTCTCGGGACGTTCGCTTTGTGGAGAATGAGTTCCCATTTAGTGAGTCCACATCCCCACCTTTGCCGCAACCTGCTCCTTTGCTGGTGCCTACTGTAGAGGATGGTGAAACTCCTTTGCACGTGGCATCACCCGAGAATGGTAATGCAGGCCCCTCGTCGTCCGCTTTGCATGACCATGCAAGTGAGGAGCAGCAAGGTCGCACGTCCCCAGCAGCTGAGCAACGCCCTGGCCTCACGACCACGCCCGAACCCGCGCCTCTTGATCCGCCGGCCGTTGCTCCCCGTCGTAGTGATCGAATCCGCCAGGTTTCTCGGCGGTTAGATGGATATGATGTTCAGTTGCCTCCATCTAATGTGCAGTACCCTATGTCCCATTTTGTCAGTTATGACACTTTCTCTCCCAAGCATCAAAGCTTCTTGGCAGCGGTCTCTAGTCAGGTTGAGCCCACGAGTTTTCGCGAGGCAGTTCGGTATGAAGAGTGGCGGATTGCAATGCAAAAGGAAATTGACGCGTTGGTTGGTAATGGAACTTGGACTTTGGTCAGTTTGCCTCCTGACAAACGAGTAGTTGCTTCGAGATGGGTCTATAAAATTAGGTTCAATTCCGATGGTTCTGTTGAGAGGTACAAAGCACGCCTTGTCGCCAAGGGATTCACTCAAACAGAGGGAATTGATTATCATGATACTTTTGCCCCGGTGGCAAAGTTGGTCAGTGTTCGTTGTTTGTTGGCGGTAGCCGCGGTTCGTGGTTGGGCAGTTCATCAGCTTGATGTTGATAACGCATTCCTGCAAGGGGATCTTCAGGAGGAAGTGTACATGCAAATTCCACAGGGTTTTGCAGCTCCCGGTGATTCTCGAGTTTGTCGGCTTCACAAGTCCATCTATGGACTCAAGCAAGCCTCTCGTAATTGGTATGCTAAGTTTGCTGCTACGCTTACTGGTCTGGGATTTACACGTTCTAGTGCCGACTACTCTCTGTTTGTCCGCCGCAGCCGTGGTACATACGTAGTTGCGCTCATATATGTGGATGACGTCATCCTGGCAATTGATGATATGGCCTTCATTCAGCTGGTCAAGGATGCTCTTCATAGTCAGTTTGGCATAAAAAATCTGGGGCCACTTAAGTACTTCTTGGGAATCGAAGTTGCTCGCTCCCGTGCTGGTATTGCATTGTGTCAACGTAAGTACACCTTGGATCTTCTCCGTGACAGTGGTTTTTCTGGTGGTCGTCCAAGTGTTTTTCCTATTGAGCAGCATCACCAACTCACTCGCCATGATGAACATGCGGTGCTGGTCCCTCCGGATGATGCTGCTGCTTATCGTCGTCTTATTGGTCGGTTGCAGTACCTCACAGTCACGCGCCCAGACATTGTTTATGCAGTTAATATTCTCAGCCGCTACGTCCACGCGCCTACGTCTGCGCATGTGGCTGGTGCTGAGCGTGTTCTCCGTTACCTCAAGAATGCACCAGGTCAGGGCATTCTTCTCCCTTCGACTGGTCCTCTTCACTTGACAGCTCATTGTGATGCCGACTGGGGCGGCTGTCAAACCACTCGTCGGTCGACTTCTGGTTACTTCATCACCCTCGGTGGTGCTCCGGTTTCTTGGCGTACCAACAAGCAATCGGTTGTGGCTCGATCATCGGCAGAAGCTGAGTACCGCGCCATGGCCAGTACTATTAGTGAGGTTATCTGGCTCCGTGCTCTTCTCAGGGATATGGGTGTCGACAGCACTAGTCCCACAGTTCTTAATTGTGACAATCAGGCAGCTCTTCACATTGCTGCCAACCCCGTGTTCCACGAGCGCACGAAGCATGTTGAACTCGACTGCTACTTTGTCCGCGATCATGTCACCTCCGGTGAGATTCGTCCTCAGAAAGTCCACACTGCGGTTCAGCTTGCAGACTTGTTCACTAAAGGTCTCGCCGGGGATCGTTTTCATTCTCTCTTGTTCAAGCTGGGCATTTGTAACCTGCATGCCTCAGCTTGTGGGGGAGTGAAAGGATAGTTTTACCTATCCTATTCTTAGTACGCAGCCGTGTGTTGGCTTTAGGGGTTTCATTGTCTTTTCCCCTTTTAGCCGCCAGTTTTATGTAACCCTAGGAAACTAGTTGATTAGGGTTATATATATATTTTGTAAGTGTATCGGCCAAATACTAAGAATGAATAAGCTGAGATAGCACAATTTCTCCGTGGAGTAAGCTCATTCACACCGAATGAGAAGAACCACGTAAATCTCGTCTCGTGCGT